TGGAGTCCTGTGCCCGGATCGCACCAGCCTCTCCTTCCCCTGCTTTTTCTGCTTGAAGGTCCTGGGGTCCCCTCCAGTCTTGACCACGCTTTGGGGACCACACTCTGTCTCACAGAACTTTCAAATATTCCCTCTTCCCTGCCATGTAAAATTTAATTCCTTAGAACTGAAGGATCAGGACATTCACAGTAGAGTCGGCTTCCCAAAATTTCTAGATATGGCTTCTTGTGGGCCATTCTGTTTGAGCCAGGCTGGCCCTACGTTTTCCTGCTCACACTGCCTAAGTGTTTTGAAACATCATCTCCTTTGTCACTGCCTGTACAAGGTTATCTCAGATCCTACCTCCGCCATAGTGTTTCCTGAAAAGAAGCACCCAATAGCCAGGCACGGTGACTCACGCCTATAATTCCAGCACTTTGGGAGGCCAAGGTAGGAAGATCGCTTGAGCCCAGGAATTTGAGAACATCCTGGGCAACATAGGGAGAACCCATCTCTACAAAATTAAAACAATTAGTTGGGCGTGGTGGTGTGCGCCACCTGGGAGGCTGAGGTGGAAGGATTGCTTGGGCCTGGGCGGTTGAGGCTGCAGTGAGCCATGATCCATGATTGCACCACTGCACTCCAGCCTGAGCAACAGAATGAGGCCCTGTCTCAAAAAAAGGAAAAAAACCAAAGCGCCTCATCTTCGAGAAGGCAACTTTATCTAATGAGAGTGCAGATAGCTGCAGGGAGCCTGAGTGTGGTCCCATGTCTGCCTGTGAATATCCATGAGCCCCGGAGTCAGGATTTTCCTTCAGCCCGATTTTTCATCCACAAATAAGGAAGCTGGACTAGATAAAGAATGAAAGTCACTTTAAATCTAGTTCCATGATAGGCTCTAAAACACCTTTTGTTGATGCAGCTGGTTAAGTTGAATCGCTAACGGCATATTTTGGATCACTGCAGCTCTGTCTTGAAAAGGGGGCCGTACGGCACAGAAGATGACTTTGCTGTCCCTCCTTCTACCAAGCTGGCCCGGATAGAAGAACCAAAGAGAGGTGTGTTGGTTTCCGTGTCTTAGTGGGAATTTTAAATCAGAAATGGGTTTGGAATCTATCAAAAGCATCAATGGTTCAAGCACGTTTTTTCCAGTTTCACTTGCTTGGGAATTCTTCCATCAGACTGACATCTAGCTTGAGCTAGGACTTACAGCAAAGTTCAGAGAAGCTGAAACCCATGTTCTTAAAACAGAATTGAGACTGGCTAATGCTCGCCATCCTTGATGTGAATGTGGTTTTTATTTTGGCTGGTACCGTGGTCTGTTTTCCTCTTTTGCTCATGTGAACTGTATCCTTTTTTCTCTCTCTTCCCTTTGTCATTCCTGGTTGGGGATTGATTAGTGCTGCTCTACGTTCGAAAGGAGTCAGAAGAAGTCTTTGATGCCCTGATGCTCAAAACCCCATCTTTGAAGGGCTTGATGGAAGCTGTAAGTAGGATCAACTCTGTAATCCCCTGTACAAAATGAAAGGACACATACATAGGATTTCACTGAAACACTTTATCAGATGATGCAAATCCTTTGTCAGACCTTCTGGAATCCTTGACACCTTTCTTGAGTCATTGCGCGTCCCACATTTTATCCTCACCCAGGGATCTTAACTCACATAGTCACTCAGTCATACCTGTTCCACTGAAGTGAATGCATTTGTGATGGCCTATGAAATCGTTTAATTTTTATATACGTGGTTAAAGGGAGATTGCCATTTAGCAAGCCACTTAGAAGCTAACAAAAATGATTTTTAATCAGGTACAATCTTAAAAACTTCATACATAATAAAAACAGTGGCTCCTCAGTCTACCTTTGAAACTCCCAATCCTAGGAAATTACTGAACTTGTATCAATACCTCACCACAGCCTATTGCAGAGAAAGTAGACGTGTAACCAGTGATGGCCATATGTCCATCTTACAAGGATCTCAGCATGAGGCTGGAATAAACTGACCCCATGCTCCCTGTGGGGATATCAATAAGAGAGGAAACGTGGAAAGCTGCTATGTTAATTTCCTGTTCCGGCTGTGCCCTGGAAAAACGCATGTTAGCAGCACTGAGTGCAGATATTTACCAACCTGTCTCCTATAGACTGTAGAGATCTTTAAGCTCAAAGTGTGTCCATAATTGGGCTAAAAGCATCTCCCCTAGCTCCCTCTGATGACTGTAGTATGTTGAATTCATTTAACACATCTTGATAAAGGGCTCGCTTCATGCCAGGCACTGTGGCGGGCACTGGAGTTACGAGCGTCAGTGACAGTGCTGAATGGAGTTTATGTTCTAGTTAGGAAGACAGAGACACCAAAATGAGCAAAGAAGTTGAGGTCATTTTTCAGGTACTGATAAGTGCAATGAAGACGATAAAGCGGGGAGATGGGGCGTGGGTTTGGGGAGCTGCTGTGCGGTCTCTCAGCCAGGCGGCCCAAGTCCACGGGTGTCATTCAGTGCATCCCTGCCTGCCCACAGCACAGGCAGTGCCGTTCCCACTGTCACTTCCTGCCTCCTGGGATGTCCCCTGAGTTTCTCTTTTCTTGCCTTTTGATGACCCTTCATCATGTCTTAAGAATCATGCAAATTGGCCAGGTGGGTGGCTGTAATCCCAGCTACTCTGGAGGCTGAGGCAGGAGAATCGCTTGAACCAGGGAGGTGGAGGTTGCAGTGAGCTGAGATCCTGCCACTGCGCTCCAGCCTGGCATAGCAAGACTCCGACTCAAAAAAAAAAAAAGAATTGTGCCTACTCTGATTACAGGGAGAGAGGAGAGTGAAGAGGATGCAGAGTTACTGGGCAAGCATAACTGTTCATGGCTCACAGGGAACTCATGACAGGTCTTACATATCAGAACACAAAGTATTATCCACTGGTGCAGAAAAGAAAAAGGGTTTGTGTGGTGGGAACTCGGAGCTAGGGTCTGGTCTGAAACACATGTGTTTGGAAGGTTGGCGGGATCTACAAGTTCGCCACCTGAGGCTCCGTTTCTCAGCACCACCTTGAGCTTTGCTCTGTGGCTTGAGGTTAAGCTGGTGATGCCAACCTGAGGATGGTCTGGATGACAAGTGCAATGTTTGATCTAGAGTGAATCAGCTGTTTGCCCATTCTCTTCTCAAATATTAAAAATCGCCTCTATGCCCTGAAAGGAAGACAGCCGGAGTTTACACAGAAAAGCTCATTACAGCGAGGGCAGCCGGGCTGAGGAGAGGGGGAGGCCCCCAGCACACGAGCTGGGGCTTCTCCATGTCTTTGTGTCTGCGTTTTGGAAAAACAAAGTCGAGTGACCATGCACATGTGTATGTATTTGTTGTTTGGTTTCTAAAGCCTTGATACAGGGTTTTGTAATTATTTTTCTTTCCTCTTTTAGATCTCAGACAAATACGATGTTCCCCATGACAAGATTGGGAAAATATTCAAGAAGTGTAAAAAGGGGTAAGCAGCCACTGTGTCCTGTCTGAAGGGCTGAGCAAGGAAAGTGTCGATGCCCCCCCCCGCAGTGCCAGTGAGACGCACCCCCCAGTGCTGTTGACACCCCCAGCACCAGTGTAGCACACCGCACACGCTAGCGACACACCCCCTGTGCCAGTGCGCCTTGTGTCCAGTCCAGAAGCAGCCGAAGAAACCTGGGTGCTAGAATGTGGCTTTTCTAAATTATATACGAAATTACTTAGATAAAATTGATCTGCCTTGAGGAGATCTTTGTGTATTGTTTCTCCAAGTCACCTTCTTTGCCCTCCACATGCCTGGCAGCAGTGCCATGGCTCCACACTCCAGGGTGTGTGGCCAGCGCCACTGAGGATGGCCAGGGCAGCACCTCCGTGCGTCAAGCCCGTTGGAGCCACGCCCTGGGTTGGGCACGTCCCACGGTGCTGTGCTGGGTCTTCACGTCTTCTTTCTCAGCTGGTCTTAGGGCTTGTTCATAGTTTATAGACAGTCAGCTGAGGCTCAGAGCTCGAGAGGCTTGTAGGAGCCACGGTTGGTATCTGCTCCCTCTGCAGCCCATGCCCTGCTCTACCCTCCTGCCCAGGATCCTATTTCCAAGTTATATCATATTGCTGCTTTGTCCAGGAATTAGTATTTTTAGTTCTTTTTTGTCTGTCTATGATGTTTGGCATGGATAAGCAGTGGCTAGCATAAGAATTTTTTGGCTAAGTTTTAAAACAAATTCTAATGGGAAATTTCTAGATGGTTCTAGTGGAAAGAGTTGGACTTAATAGTAGTTAATTTATTTTTGTTTGTTTTCTTGTTTTTTTGTTCTTTATTTTTTGTTTGATAATAGTAGTTCATTTAAACTTGGAGGCTAACTTGCTGGAGTGTGCAATATGTCAGGGGGCTGTGGCTTCACATCGTGTAAGTTAGTGTTATTGATGTGCTTTTGCTTTATTCGTTTAGAGATGGTTTCACTGTGTCGCCCAGGCTGGAGTCCAGTGGTGCAATCGTAGCTCACTGTATCCTTGAACTCCTGGGCTCAGGCAGTCCTTTCACCTCATCTTCCCAAGTAGCAGGGACTACAGGCATATACCACCATGCAGCTAGTTTTTAAAATTTTTCTGTAGAAATGGGATCTTGCTGTATTATCCAGGCTGGTCTCAAACTCTTGGGCTCAAGTGATTCTCCTGCCTCAGTGTCCCAAAGTGCTGGGATCACAGGTATGAGCCAAGTACCATTTAGCAAGTGACTACTATTAAATACATGCTGGAGATAGTAATCATAAATAAGCTAGTATATTTCATTTTCCAAATGCTGTGATAGAAATGTATCACCTGATTTCCTTCTAACTCAGTTCTCTCAACAATCCTGTAAGATGGGTACTACTGTTATCCCCATTTTATAGATGAGGAAGTTGAGGCTTAAAGAGATTTAAATAATTTGCCTCACATACCGCAACTAGTAAGTGGGAGAGCTAACAGTTAAATCTAGGTCTGACTTCAGAACCGAGTGGGAGTGAAGTTGGCTTGTCTTGTCCCTCCCCATCCAGGATCCTGGTGAACATGGACGACAACATTGTGAAGCATTACTCCAATGAGGACACCTTCCAGCTGCAGATTGAAGAAGCTGGGGGGTCGTACAAGCTCACCCTGACTGAGATCTAAAGGCCCGCAGGCCACAGCTCCCCAGGAGTTCAGTGCAGGTGTTTCTAGATCTTATGGTTTGGCAAGTGCAGGTAACCCCCAGTCAGCCATGTCGCCAGCACAGCTCTATGTCAAGGGAAGGGGTTCCTTGCAGGTTGGAGGCGGGGCTGCATCTGGCTTGGTGGTAGCATTTAATCTATTGCATTGGCGTTTTTCAGATGAAAGAGAAATCCATATACCATTATGTTTGAATGTCCTGATATATACAGGATTTAAAGTGAAAACTTTATTCCAAGAGTTAACAGAGTCTCTGGGAAGCTTTAGGACATCTGCTACGTTATTTATCAAAATATTGGGATATCTGCCTTGTGCCTACAATGTCGTGGGCCTGCTCGCTAGTGGAAGTCAGAAAAGGCGATAGGCTTGGCTTTAAGATTTCGTGCCCTTGCCTGAATTCAGTACAACTCCACTGCCTCAGGTTAGTGGGAACGCACCTGAAGAGTACAGGGGTGAGCCCTCTCTCCCTTAACCTCTCATTCTCCACCAGATGTTTACTAAACAGGGCATGTTACTGAAATCTTCCTTTGCGACTTTCTTGGACATATCAACTGCCTTTCTCATGAAGAATGTTAATGGGTTACAGTATGGATTCAGTTCAGATAAAGCTGCATTGTATATAAGTGCAATATATTTTTGAAGGTCTGTAAATGTGTACATACATGTCTTATATAAATATATAATATATAAATATGGTGTCTGTGTACATATAGTGAAGATATGCAGTAAGAGCTACCTTAAAGACTTGCCCTAGACAAAGGTTAAGTTATTTTTGATGATGTATACCAAGCAGATAGAATACTGTGCTTAGTGAAACCCACTAAAAACCTTTTTCTCTGTTTTTCTAAACACAGTCATTCTGTAGCATAGCAAAACCTTCTCAAATGACAGAGATTCTGTTTGCTATTGAGAATGTTGTTAATTGGATTTCTGCACTCTTTAACAAATGAAGTAAAAGAAAAACACTACTGCAATCACGTCTTTTGTTATGCTAGTATCAGTCAGATGCACTTAGAGTGAAGAAACACTGTAATTACAGCACACAGATTGCAAGTATTGTGTACCAAGTGATACAACTCGAAATGGGGTTCTCATCTTCCTGTTTTGAGAAATGATTGTTTTTTCACACATCAGAGCCTTCGTGCTTTGATTATCTTGTATGTTAACAATTCTAGAAAACATTCATGAATTTATAAAAATACGTTACTGTGGCAGGGGAACATTTTGTACACATTTAAATATATAAAAATACTAAAATATGGAATTTTATAACAAAGTCACGGGTATCTTTAGGTTCAGGGAACTAGGCTAGGTCATTCGTGTAAATGGACTGGTAGTAACAGTCTTAGGTTAAAGTATTCTAATGACGTATGGGAACTCAATTGCTGGTTTTCTAAGATAAGGTATGGGATATGGGTCATATAACTATTTTATATTTTTTATGAAATTGATTTTGTCTTGTGTGTTATTTTTAATTGTATCATTGAAAATGTATTTTAAACCAAAGGGATTAAATTTTATATGTCTATTTCGTAATATGTCATTTCCTGTTTTTCAGTTTGCCTTTGCATTGCTCAGTAAAACATGAGAGCGGAAAAGCATCTCATTGCTAGCACTTTCTCCTTATTTCTTAATGTGTGTGCTTAGGTCGTTTCCTTCGTGTTAACTTTTCCTTACTGATGCCTGAAATGATCCACATAACTGTTAAGTCAGGATCCCTGAATGATTTTCCAATTCTTACCAAAATTTAACCACCAAGGCTGAATGCTTTCATACCTAAAATCTTAGTATTCTTAGTTTTTAAAAGCCTAACAGAAAATATTTAGTTAAAAAATTTACCAATATTTAAATCATCAGAATCTCTAAAACAGGCATCCTGAACGTATTCCAGGGTAATCCAGGGCCTAAATATGGTAGACACTAGAATGTATTTTAAATGGATACATGGTCAGATTAATGAAGTAAGCTCCCTGGTAGAGCTCCTGGGACATCAGCACTTTTCACAGTAACCCTCGGGCCAAAGTGAAGACTCTCCTGCAGCCTGGGTTCCCGTTCACTCAGCGGTTCTGGAGTTCAGCTCCACACAGGGGAGACCGGCCGGCGCATCCTCTCCATGGGAGCCCTGCCTCGCTCCATGGGTTTCCTTCACCCCCTGCCTTCCCAGGACTTACCTTTGCCTCAAAACTCCCCTTTTCCCGGGCCTCCCCAGGGACATTACCCCTGGTTCCTCAGCCAGCACCCTCTCCCTGCTCTCACGGCTCCCAGTACTGACAGACACCTGCTGGCTGTCTCCACGGCCTCTGGTTTCCTGGAGAGCAGGTTCTGGTGTCTGTCAGCTTTGGATCTCTGGCACCCAACCCAATGCTGGTTACGTAGTCGATGCTCAGTGAATGATTCTGTAATGATAAAGTGACTAGTTTATCAGCAAAGCATCAGCAGGGAGCGTTTTTAGACATTACAAGCCCAGAAGTCAGTCAGGGCTGGACTTGGACCAGTAGACCACAGAGTAGGACCGGTAGGTGGAATTGTCTGGGGCTCAGGCGTGTGCCACTGTGCCTGGATTTCTGGCCTGGATCTTTGCAGTAACCCAACTGCACTCATTGTTTCCACCCCGGGCCCCTTTGTTTTATTCCTAATCTGGGAGCCATGATGATTCTTCTAAAATAGAAATTAGGACTCTGCTCAGAACCCTGCAGTAGCTCTCTGCCTCACTCATAATGTAGACGGGATCTGTCCTCCAGCCACTGACCTCACATTCCACCATAGCTGAAGGTCCTGCAGAGTTAGGCCTGCTGAGGTTATGCCATGTTGAGAGCAAATGTGGGCATTCAGGTAATAAATGCCTTTGACTCTTAGTTTCTGTTGCTCAAAGCCACGTTGGAGACGTTTGCCCAATCTTGGTCATGTTTCCAGGAAGAAAGACTCATTTTATGAGCCTCATGGGATATTGGTGGTATTAGTAACAAGATGAGTTGAAGTCTGAGTGTTAAGATTGCCATTTTTAGCAAATACTACTTTCTCCCTATTAAAATTCATCAGAAGCAGTTCACTTGCAGCTGGCAGGGCCAACGATACACCTTCAGTGTCCCCCTCGGCTCTCCTGGATTCCTTAGCCCAGCATTCACTGTGTGAGGGGGTCTGGTCTGCAGCGACTGTGGTCACCTTCCCAGCCCACAGGGCGTCAGTCAGCCCATCCCATTGCTGAGAGTGCAGGAAAGACCTGGAGAGCAGGGGGTAGCATCTTCCCCAGGCAGCGTTAGGAGGTTTCGGGAATGTCAAAGGGCAGAAAACAATCCCTGCAAAAATGCAGGGGCTGCCTCAGTAGCATTCCAGGGGCCCAGCAATCTGGGGCATGTAACAGACCCCTCCAGGGTGAAGGACAAATGCTCAGCGACAATCTAGTCACAGCCCCACCATCAGTGTCCGGACTTGAGCTAGTTTACAGAGCCAGAACCTCTTGAATAAGGGGAGCCCAAGACCCCTCAAGGAAGGACCTTAGTGCATTACCAAGAATTGATACTGTCAATCTCTCTCCCAGCCTTCCCCGAAGGGAACCACCCTGGCCAGAGAAACTGTGTACTGGGGGAAAGGAAACAGACCTTTTGTTGACTATTGGACACTGGCTTTATCTAAACTGATACTGGTTCCAGGAGACTCAAAGCGGCACTGGCCTTCTAGTCAGAGTGAGGGCTTACGGAGGTCAGGTGATCAATGGAGTATTCGCTCAGGTCCATCTCAAAGTGAGGCTGGCGGGGCCCTGACCCCCGGTTCCAGATGTGTAATTGGAGCAGACATACTCAGCAGCTGGCAGGACCCTCACACTGGTTCCAGGACCTGTGGAGTGAGGACTGTTATGGCTGGAAAGGCCAAATGGAAGCCACTAGAACCGCCTCTACCCCGGAAAATAGAAAATCAAAAGCAATATTGCATCCCTGGAGGGACTGCAGAGATCAGTGCCACCATCAAGGACTTGAAAGATGCAGAGATGTTTAATGGGTGTGGCACACCAACGTGGCACATGTATACATATGTAACAAACCTGCACGTTGGGCACATGCACCCTAGAACTTAAAGTATAATAAAAAAATGTTTTTAAAATGTAGAAAACAACAATAATAATAATAATAAAAGAAAGATGCAGAGATGGTGATTCCCAACACATCCTCACTCGGTTCTATTTGGCCTGTGCAGAAGACAAATCGATCTTGAAGAATGACAGTGGATTATCATAAGCTTAACTCAGTGGTGGCTGCAGCTGCAGCTGCAGCAGCTGTACCAGGTGTGGTTTTATTGCTTAAGTAAATTACCACATTTCCCAGTACCTGGTACTGTACGCAGCTATTGATCTGGCAAATGCCTTTTTCTTCGTACTTGTCCCCCAGGCCCACGAGAAGCAGTTTGCTTTCGGCTGACAAGGCCAGCAGCCCCCCTTCTCTGCTAGGGGCACATCCGCTCTCCAGCCCCACATCGCACTTTAGCGCACAGGGATCTTGATCTCTCCCTCCCACAAGATGTCACATGGGTCTAATACATTGATGACATCATGCTGACTGGACCTGGTAAGCACGAAGTAGCAACCCCTCTTGACTTACTGGAAACATATTTGCGTATCAGAGGGTGGGAAATAAATCCAACTAAAATTCAGGGGCCGTTTCCTCAGTGAAATGTCTAGGAGCTCGGTGGTGTGGGGTATGTCAAGGTAACGCTTCTCAAGGAGAAGTTGCATCTGGCCCTTCCTACAAGCAAGAAAGAGGCACGATATCTAGTGGGCATCTTTGGATTTTGGAGGCAATACATTCTTCATTGGGGTGTGTTACTCCAGCCTGTTTACCAAGTGACCCCAAAAGCTGCTAGTTTGGAGTGGAGCCCATAGCTAAGGCAGGCTCTGCAGCAGGGCCAGGCTGCTGTGCAAGCTGCTCTGCCACTTGGACTATATGATCCAGCAGATCAATGGGGCTCCAAGTGTCAGCGGCAGATAGGGACGCTATCTGGTGGCCACCATTGGTGAACCCCAGTGCAAGCCTTTAGGATTTTGGAGCAAGGCCCTGCTGTCATCTGCAGATGGTTGCTCTCCTTTCAAGAGACAGCTTTTGGCCTGCTACTACTGGGCCTTAGTAAAAACTAAACGCTTGACCAGGGGCCACAAAGCTACTATGCGACCCAAGCTGCCCATCATGACCCGGGTGTGATCTGAACCTCCAGGCCATAAAGTTGGGTGTGCACAGTAACACTGTCATGAAATGGAAGTGGTGACTACAGGACCGGGCCCCAGCAGGCCCTGAAGGCACCAGCAAGTTACGTGAAGAAGTGGCCCAGATGCTCCTGGTCCTCACCCTGCTGCCCTGCCTTCTGTCTCCCAGCCTGCACCTATGGCCTCGTGGGGAGTGCCCTGCATTCAGTTGACAGAGGAAGAGAAGACTCTGGCTGCTTTGCAGATGGTTCTGAATCATGTACGGACACCACCTGAGGGTGGACAGCGGCAGCACCCCAGCCCCTCTCTGGGACATCCTCCCAGTGGGCAGAACTCCAAGCAGTGCAACTGCCCATTCACTTTGTGTGGAAGGAGAAATGGCCAGATGTGGGTTATATTCATGGCAATGGTTTGGCTACACAGGAACTTGGAAGGAGCTTGATTAGAAAATTGATGACAAAGAAATTTGGGGAAGAGGTAAAACCTCTCCAAATGAGCAAAAATGTGAAGATACTTTTCTCCCATGTAAATGCTCAACGAAGAGTGACCTCAGAAGAGGAGGACTTCAATCAGCAGGTGGAGAAGATGACCTGTTCTGTGGATGGGCTCATGAACAAAGCAGCCGTGGCGGCAGGGATGGAGGCTGTGCGTGGGCTCAGCAACATGGACCTCCACTCACCAAGCCCGATCTGGCTAGAGCCACCGCTGAGTGCCCCATCTTCCAGCAACAGAGGCCAACAAGGAGCCCTGATAGGGCATCGTTCCCCAGGGTGATCAGCCAGCTACCTTGGGGCAGGTTGATTACATTGGACCATTTCTATCATGGAAGGGGCTGCGTTTTGTCCTTCCTGGAGACACTTACTCTGAATATGGATTTGCCTTCCCTGAACACAGTGCCTCTGCCCAAACTGCCATCTGTGCACTTACAGAACGCCTCATTCTCACCTTCATGCTACTCCACAAAGCATTGCTTCTGACTAAGGAACTCACTTCATAGCCAGAGAGGTTTGGCAGTGGGCCCATGCTCATGGGACTTGCTGGCCTTACCATGTTCCCCATCATCCTGAAGCAGCTGGCTTGATAGGACAGTGGAATGGCCTTCTGAAGCCACAGTTACAGCACCAGCTAGGTGGCAATACCTGCAGGGCTGGGGCAAGGTTCTCTGGAAGGCTGTGCCCGCTCCAAATCCACATCCAATGGATGATGCTGTTTGTCCCATAGCCAGGATTCGTGCATCCAGGATTCAAGGGTTGGGAATGGGAGTGGCACCACTCACCATTACCCCTAGTGACCTGCTAGCAAAATATTTGCTTCTCGTTCCCACAGCTTCATGCTCTGCTGGCCT